TTTTTTACAATTTTTGATACGGTTAGTGTGCCTCGAAGCGTGTAAGGTGACGTGCTTTTACGCGCATTTGTTATTCTTCTTAGAAAATCATTTTTTTCCAAGTATGTCCCTTTTTTCAAAGCCGAACATTTCTGATTCATAAGTTAAAACAGGGAAACCGTATGTTGATAAAGTTTATTTGTCAGGTCAACAGATCAGGTCTGCATGCAGAAAACAATAACCATGGTTGAAATATAGAAAATACATTTTAATTTTTTTTAAAAATCACCTGTAGATAAGTAAAACATGTTCATGTATCAATAATTAATCTATTGCCGCTGACGTGTATTTTATGCATTTTTTATCATTCTTTAGTCTCTTGAAAAAAAAGATAATGATGAATTACTTATTACTTATAATTGCGATTTAGCTTTACATGTTTTTTTTTGGTGGGAGGGAGGGGGGGGGTATAAAAACAAATTTGCAATTTCGATACAAACAGCCATAATAAGATAATGACTGTTGGTGTATGCAGGTCGAATTTAGACGTTAAATACCTCTGAAACAGGTAGATATCTATTAAATAATGACAATGGGCTTATTATGCCACACAAATGAATAAATGTTTACTTCTTTAGAAAGGCATCTATGTATTTGATAACGTTCAAATAATGTTTTAAAAGCTATTAGATTATTGTTGCTTAGAAAAGTAGCGCTAAATGTGAGCTAAATACCAAATCTCTATCACGATTTGTCAAAAGCAACGGAAGGAAAAATTGGTTTAGGTCATTGGTCAATGAGTTACTATTTCGAAACTATAACATGTATGATTACACCAAAAAGGCCTTTGAAACATAAAATAAGAGCAGTAGTGAAGCAAACTTGGTCTTCACAGCTTTTTATTTTCTTCGGTTATCATTTATTGAGTGTTACTTTGATTTTATTTCCTCTTCAAATTTCGGATTTCGTGATAAACATGGAATTCCTCATTTTTACGGTCCCGATACATCAGAAGTGGCTCACTATTTATTGCTCTTATGCTTTTTTCCTTTTTAGGCACTATCAGCCGTCTCAAACTCTCTGTGTATTGCAGCTAAACATTCCTCCGTCTAAGTGATCGCATTGGTCTTCTTGCCTGTTGAAATTTGACAAACAAGACAAACAAATTGTTTGACTTTTATATCTTCGAAAAAAGACAAACAAAATTAACACACTTAAAACTTAATAAAAATATAATAAAACTATCAACTATAAATAAGCAAAAAATCAACAAACCATGATACAATTATCATTTATTTTTGAACATATTTTAACTTTTTAAGTGTATAATAGCTGCAGCACTTATATATATTTTTTAAAAATAAATTTCAGTCTTCATTTTCCACATTTATGCGTGGAATAAAATGATATTTTTTACATCGGCGGGTGGGTGGCGATGTTGTAATATATATTCGTTTTTCATGTGAATGCCATGTGTTTAGTAGAAGGTCGTCATTAAACAAAGTATGTACGGAATATATACCGTGGGTAACCGACGATGGCGTTAATTATGACGATAGGTCATCACGATATTGAAAAAAGGCGTGGAATGATCCTGGTGTATTTCCGACCATTTTCATGTTTGTACTATTCTTAGTTTTCTTTAGGCTGCTAGACTGCCAACTTCAGGCTTCTAGGCTGCTAGGCTGCCAACTTCAGGCTGTTAGGCTTTCAAAGTCTGGCTGCCAGGCTGCCAACTTCACGAACATTAAAAGTTCACTGTCACAGTAAACTTGTCTACTGTCTTTTGGGGGCTGGTAGTTGATATAACTAATTGTTTGCCTTAAGGAGGGTTATATTATTATGATTAACAAACACTTCTCAATTTCAAAGAAATAATCTAGTCCATTTTTTCAAGACAAATCCACAATAATGGTCAGCATATCAAATTTGTTATCACATATTTGTTCAAAAGAAACTGCAGCAACAGGCATTTTTATTTTATCATTGTGCCTTTGAAATAAAGAATGCTGCATTAGGTAATTATACATTGCCTAGAACAATAGTATACAGAATATAGTGGACAAGTACACCGCTGTCAAACAGTCATCCTTGCTGTATACTACAGTACATAAATAGCGCAACGAGAGCGGCTGCTTAACCCTAGATCCTTATAATAAAGACTGATTTTCTTACTTCATAAACTGCTCCGATAACACTTACTAATGAGGACCTTCTGAAACTTGGGAATATCATTCCACACAACTGTCAAGATCAAATTACAACTATCCTAACAGATGCTGATGCTGTTGAGCGTTTTGTCAAAAAAGTCAACAATAGACTAGAAGACTCGAGTTTTAAAGTAAACACTTCCAAGTGTTAATATATAATTCGACTGCTGACAATTCATAATTTTATATAGCTGTATTAACATTAAATAGAAATAGTTCCTTAAAGATATTTCATTCATAAACTTAATATGTTCATAATTGAGAATTGATTAATAGATTATTGTTTATTTAAATTATCTTGGTTTGTATTTAATCCTATTAACAAATCCACAGAATACCATTATAAGTACGGCCAAAAAGTGATCATCTTGTCGGACTGCCCATTAGGTGCTTCTTAACAGATGTTTGAAAGAAGATAACATGTTAATGATAATACAGCTGGCAAAGTATTCCAACTCGAACAACTCACAAAGCAGACGGAACCAAAACATGTTACCTTTGGACTTGCAATGCACCCTTGTTACTTAACCTAGTCTTGCAAAAATGATGAAATATTCATCCATGTAATCTGGAGCCAGACATATTTTTTTACTTTAAAACATGACAAAGGATGATTTACACGTGTATTGACTGATAACCAGTTGAGCGAGCTAAAGTGATTTGGACCAATATGTGACCTTGCATTTAGATAGGGACAAATCTAATCAGCTTATTCTGAATAACTTGTAGTTTATTTTTTTAGGAATTTGGACAGACCGGCTACCATATTGAACAGTAGAAATAATACTGAAATTGGATTATGGGCATAACTTGAAGTTTCCTAGTATGATGAGTGAGGTTATCCTTATTGCAATATAAATATCTCACACGTGCATTAGCCTTCTGCAACACTGACCTAGCCATTGATCTAAAGATAATAATTGATCAATAATATATTTGGTTTGTATGTCAGTACAAATGTATATTACAAGAAGTTGCCATTACATTTAATATTAAGGAATGAATTTGACCTAAGTCTGTGTTTAGTCTCAAATAAGATTGACTCAGTCTTGCCCAATTTTAGTGATAAATTTTTATCCACCAGCCGATGGCTAACAAGATGTAAATCTCTTTCCAGGAATCCTAAATAGTCAATTGTTATCGAGTAATACGTAAATACCTCATCAGTAAAAGAAATTTTCTTATCCACAATCAACCTTTTTGTTTACATCAAATATCCCCATAGTGTATTAAACCTTTAATTCCAGAGCATAGTGATATTTGAATAACAATTCTTTGACCTCAAAATATAAGACCATTTTCATAACTTAGTTTAACCCTATGATACTAGAACTCAAGTATATCAGATAGGCATCTTGACTTTTCCCCTTGGCAACCTTCAATGAAAGTTTGTTTTAATATGTCCATTCACCACAACTACTTATTTCTGAGATAATTACAATCTTTGATCAGTGATGTGGAGTAGTTTACGGACAGTGTGCACATGTGTGTCAAGTCATGAACTACTTCTGATTGCAAATCTGATAAACATTGTCATGATAAGCCGGTTTTTCTGGCCTGGATAATGGATAACTGTTATGATGTGTTTTTGCAATTGTAACAACATATTTAGAGTCAATGTAGCGCAGTTTAAGTTAAACTTTTACGCGTATTCAAACGGTCAACCATTTTGTATGTGCCTGCGCCGTCCAATGATCTATCACAATCTTATGTAAGTGGCGCTTTCTGGTCACAATAATCTATTGTTGTTTGGGCCACAACACATTCCGTTTTAACACAGTAATGAGAATGTAAACTAGTACTCACCGTATTAGATTGAGAGTATCTACCAACTGCATAACACAATTGTTCTTCAATATCACTATTGTCCCATATTTTATTGACACAGCGTTTTTCTGAGATTTACAATGCCTTAAAAATGATTTAGTTTGTTACACTTGTATCATGTATACTCTTTGCAAGACAGTTTAGTTTGCTCGCTGGTCATGTCGAGTGCCACAACGTCCACAAACGTTTTGCAATGCATGTATTGACATTCCCTTCTTAGTTGGTCCATTTGTTGATTTTTTTCGCAATGTTGCCTCTGGATTCTTAAAGCGACAACTGTTTGGCGCGCGACCCCCCCCCCACCTGATTACCACTTATGGAATGCCACTAGGATCCATTGTGATTATTTCTCTAAATCAATGATAATTATATATTACATAATATTATTAACCTAGTAATCCAGTGCAATATACCTGGGACCATTAAGTATTAGGTGGTTTTGTATATCAATATATTGCAAGAAAACAACGTATACATTTAATGAGAAATGAGTATGATGGCTGATTTGAAACACTTATGTGTGTCGTGTTATCGCTAGCGACAGCACGACAAAGTGCCAAACGGCGCGTTGTCAGACTTTCCTTTTGTGGTCCTGTCGCTTACGATGCATGTCAAACGGCGCGTTGTCGCGATTTCACAATGTCGCTCGGCTCAAATCGAAGAATTGGCTATATATATAAATAGAAGCAAAGCGACAGGGCGACAACGCGCCGCACGACAACGCGCAGTTTGGCGTGCTTCGCTAGTTACAGGACAACAATATGACAGTGCAACAAGTCGCCGTTTGGTGCGTTTCGATAGCGAGAAGACGAAAAGGCGATAACGATATAGGTTGAGTTGGCGCTATCGGCAACGCAACGCGCAAAGTGTAACAAATAAGAGATATCGGTGGGTTTCATAAGTTGCCCTTCTTTCTAGACATGCATAACATGCATACATTTATCTTATCTATCTTATCAGCTGTATATTACACGTGCATACACAGGAGTAAATTAAAAGTACACTTTATTGCAGATTTCTTTCAGTATTTACTTTCATAAACAATATTCGCCGGACGAGGACGAATCGTGAGTACTTCATTTTTATTTTCTGTATGCATGAATATGACAAAGCTTAATGCGGCTGAATAGCAGTAATCAGCATGTTACACCGGATACAATATTGCCGATTTCAAACACAAAATTCCAATGAATGAATAGTAAATCAAATATCGCATTGCACAGTAAAACATTTATCGGATATGAACCGGATTATCATCATACATAAGAAAAAAATATAAGATTTATCATTTTAAAAGAACAGATATTAGATGAATAAGCACATTTCACAATTTGCTTTATGAAATAGTGGATGGGGTACAGAGCTGCATTACTAATGTGCACCAACTATTTTTACATAAATTTAATTATAAGGACCTTTTGTAAAAATGAAGGAAAAAAAAAAAAAAAAAAAAAAAAAAAAAAAAAAACGAAATTAATAAGCATTTGTTTTGGCAATGCAGTTTTGTAAATGGCATCGTAAATATCTTTTTCAAAACAGAAAAGGAACCTTTTTTCAGCAAAAACTGCAGAGGACATGTTTTTTTGATCTATATAGTATCAGAAACCTTTCGCATAAACAAACAATCTAATCATAATATTTTATGATGTTTATTTATCAATGTAAAATGCAAAAAAAAATATTCTTTCAGTTTAAGGAGCCAAAACATATATAAAATATTGGTTCAATATTGAGAAAGGAGCCTGCAAATATAAATAACAATTTTGAAACTTTTATCTCATCATGGAATTCTTATCATATCTCTCTTAATTTAAATTAACACAATAGGTTTGTATCCCCTCCGAATATGCAAATTTTTATTTTTACTCTCTTTATACCTGTCCACAAAACAACAGAAACTACATTTTGTATTCTATCCTCCCCCGCTAAAATATTTAAGAGAGAAGTAAAAATAAAATAAAAATGAATACAAAAAGTGATTTTATATGGCATTTTCTTGAATACTTTTATAGCTATTAAATAATATAATTCTAAATGCATCAGTGCATGGTATTATATCAGTTCATCAGATGTATATTTATATATCCATCTTATAAGTTTATTTCAATATTCCATTGGACCAAATGATCCTTGAGGATAAACAGACACATATGATAAATGACAAGACAGTGTAAAGCATATACATGCAATAACATGTGTAAGTGGAGAAGGTATACACATAATTGTATGTCATCATTGAAAATAAATATCAGAACAAAAAGGACATTCAACTTAAACATAATGCTAAATAAATAACCAATGTCTAGCAAAACTTACGGTAAATTTCATACATTGTATAATTTAATTTTACAAGATACATGTGTATATATAATACATCATATAAATTTATATTCATACTTGCTCGCGAATGTGTATGTCGTTCTTGTCGAATCAAAATACAAGAACAGCATAACCATTTGTCGGTAAATTAAACTATAGAACGTGTTTCAATTTAAATAATTAAATGAATTTGACAAAAACTCGTATTTATATAATTAAACATATACAATTATATTTATTCGAGTACGCGTATGTTGTTCTTGCCGAAATAAAACACAAGAACAACGTAACCATTAGTCAGTAAATTAAACTAAAGAGAGTGGTTTGATTTAAAGAGGACGAATAATCTTAAGTATAATCATTTAGCTACTTGTATACATTTACATATATAACCTTGACATGTAGTGATTGTACTGGTATATCCGCTGAAATAAAACGTTCACTTATTCAAAATAATTAAGCATAATCATTTAACTACACATTTACATATATATTACTGACATAATTATCCTTTGAACTAAAGTGTTCACCTATTCAAAACAATGTTATAGATGTAAAACAAATCGATATAAAAGCCTTATGGAACTTATCAATAATTTCTAGCAAAATTATTGACATATGACCTTAATTTAAAAGCGCTGGTGTCATACAATATTCACAAAAAATCCAAAACAAAACAAGCATAATTCAACTTAACAATAAATGTCTACCAATAATTTGTGTTTAATCTTTCTTTTCTTGGTGCAAAAGCATTGTTTACAAATTTTGCTAATTTACGTAATGTGCATACATTTTCAGACTGAAATAATTCTATAAATGTTTGGCATATTTGGACGTCTCCATTAATATGTGGGTATCAGACTTTTTCTTAAATCAGTATATACATTGCATTCTAACATGAAATGGTATTCGTATTCTAAGACGTTACAAGAAAAACATTTTCTATCATTTAAAGGTGTACTTTGGTTTTGATTTAGTCCATATACCTATATGCAATCTATGAGGAGATACTCTTAACCTAGTGAGATCCTTACAAACCCGTTCAACACTGATAATAATTAGATATGGTTGAAACCTAAAAACAGAAATATGTCTATAAAATAGATCTTTTCTAGAGTTATATAATCTTCTTGAACAGTTTTGTACAAATTGGTATTTCAATCGTTGTTCACATGATATAAAATCGGGTCAGTATTATGAACAAAGCATTATAAAAACTTAATGTACATAAAAAGAGTTTTCACTAATGAACACCAATTTGTCTTATTTGGGTAATTTTCACAATCATTTTGTTAATAAAATATAGCTTTATTGGCAAACTTATTCTCACTTGTTTTATTTATTTTAGCCGAGTATTTAATAATGTGATAGTAACGCATTGTTTGGAAAGGTATACTACCGAGTTCATCATATATTAAACCATTCTGAGTTGCGTTTTAACACCTAACGTACGTTTACAAAATTACATATATACGCTTTCAATTGCGTTACCGTGTATAAAACCCCAGACTTCGCTGCTATAATTAAGAACAGGACTAACTAGTTTATCAAAAGGATCAAATCTGTGTAAAGTAGAAATGCTAACAAATGCAGACAGGTATTTGTTTATTTTAAATGCTGCATGAAACCCGTTTCCAACAATGGTATTTTGAGGTTCTGCAAAGATTTCCCATGATATGAAAATTCCTAAATATGCAAATTTAGTTACTTTATCAATACAGTTTTCCTTGTAATAAAAATTCATATTTCTAGGCAATATCCCCCCTGTCTACATATCATTTTTTTCGTCTTAGATGTGTTCACTGAAAGTCTCCATCTACCACAGTAATCTGATAAAATATTTAAATCTTTGTGTAGCTAGTCCTGACCATTTGCAAGAATAACAATATCATCAGCATATAATGTGTATACACATTTGATAAATAAATCGGTAACCTTTAAAGGGGCCCAAAAATTAACTCGATAAACTTACCTTCCATCAATTGATATCATAACTTCCAAAAATCTCTACGAAGATTTTACTTTTTCAATTTTTTTATGTTGGGCTTAGTATACCGGGCACTTTCCTATTTAACAAAATCGTGCGAGATGATTATTTGATTTACAATGTACAATGCGTGATTTTAGATTCAGAATTGGACAAAGTATAGACAGATGATGATCTCCAAACAAATGTCATGATGAAGCAAAAAAATTGAAATGTTGCCTTTATTACAAGTCTTAATGAATTTATCATTCAACTTGGTTTCAGTTGAAAATCTGTTCTTTATGTAAATATTGCCTATAATGAGCTTCTGTTTATTCTATGTATGTATGTTGTCATTACGAAGCAAAACTTATTATAACTACTTATTTTAACATGTGCATAAATGTTGTTTCTGTGGTAACTTATCTTGATTAGAATATATTGCAAATGTCTAATAGTTTCTTGGAATAAGCGACCATTTGAGTATGACATCTGGTTTTTCTTAAATACTCTTCTTGAACGTTTCATTTTCATTTTAATATCTGGACGTGAATGTTAAATACAAATATGAAGTTTCTTCTCTTTATTTTGATTACTTTCATGTTATGACGTAAGTAAGTTTTGATTTGGTATCTAACATATTTAAAGATAATAAATGACCTCACCATGAAGATACAAAATGTCAGAATTTGGACCGACGAGACAAAATATGAATTGGTAATTCTGCTGGATTTCTATGACCTCACTTTTTATATTTCGGTGTTCGAGCTGCATGCCTCCAGATGAGCCAGATGAATAAAAATATTTCAAGAAAATCAAACTTGAGAAAAATATATCGAGTTTTTATAAAAAGATTAAAGTAACGATTTCATTGCTATTTGCAATAAATGGCCGATTTTTCAATAATTTTCAACATATTTCTACTGCGTTACGAACGCTGTAAGGGCTAATTTTGCATATTTTGATCACATTTTGATACTGTACATGGGTTGTAAGTGCCGTTTGCAATGTGCATATTATTTTATTTGTCAGCTTCACAATATTTTACATTTTCAAAATTAGCAGGGATCTGGAGGCGTGCTGCTTTAAAAAGTAAGCGAATCTATTCTTATTCTATATGATGTAATTTAAAGGCACATATTATGCATAAGAAAAAATAAATATTTACTTCTTTAGGCAAACGTTAATTTTTAAATGTATTAGTAATGGTTTTTGAGAAATGTTAGATGCTTCTTATCTGAAACCAGTAGAGATAAATGTGAAATACTTTATCATAAAAGTAGCAAAATGTAAAACAAAGAAGTATTTTGACTTCAATACAAAATACTATTTCACTGTAATCGTACATATTGCCAAAAATCAACAGATGAAAAAGATGGTTCCGGTACTCGTGTGATTATTGACATTTAAATGATTATATTTCAATTTTCTGTACGATGGTTTTTTCACAACGATATAGGAATATAGGATATGTAGTTTAATATAGGACTTTTATGTCATGTCAACAATTAGTTTGCCATTCTTCGCTATTAAGTAATTATAAAGTATCGATGTTATTCGACAAGTAAAATCGATAAAAAAACAAGCTTCCGACTTTAGCTATTAACCACTTAATTTTACTGTAAAACAGGTCCAATGGGTTCATTCTATTGGCTAAGGGTAATAAACCAGAATACATACAGTCTTTATAGTTGCTCAAAAATATTATACATTTCCTTGTTGATCTTTTTGTCATTAAATGCAGTATCTGGTTATTGACATGACTGTGTCATCTGGTATTTGGTATTACCTTATACATATGACAGATATATGCAGGGTTTTCCTTACAAATTTAAGAAAGTTTAGTCCATGGACCCCAATGTTTGAGGTTCTGGGTGTCATATCAAAACATTATTTCAGCAACTGAAATCAATTATGAATTGTTCATACTTTTTTGATAGGCTTCTTTTTCAAAAACAGCCATCTTACAGTTAAACAGAAGAGCTTGTAATTTTAGGTATCCATCTTGCATAAAAACGGTGCATCAATTATAGAGATGATAAAATATTAAAACAAAAGTTACCAAATTACCATAAAAAGAATGAAATATGCTAAAAGGAAGCCCGGTTGAAATAAATATTAATGCTCTGTCATTACGATTCGCGATGAATCTTAACATATAAAATGTAACAAGGTAATTGATTACCAAATTTTACCAATTTTATATAAGTGTGCAAGTCTCCAGCTCACCAATCTTTATCAAGATTATTCTTTTTTGTGCATTTGTAGCTTTTCCACAGTCTCCAGCAACTTCTTATAGGATTGATTGAAGTTGCCAAAGGTTTTAGGAGTGCATTAACCAGGGAACACGAACCCATTTCTTTCTGAAGGTATGGAAGAATGATTCTTATGTTCTTCTTTTGCACTGTTTTCTATTGGAAAAATGATACTACTTCATCTGTAAACTAAGATAATAAGAAGTAAACTGACTCTCCTTTTGTTTTTTGTGAAATAGGTATAATTCACATCTAACTGTTACCATACATTGCCAGGAAAACAACTACTGGTGCAACATGGCATCTCAAGAGAGACCCTTACATATTGTAACACCAACTATACATAGTATGCCTATAAGTAAACTAACTGGCTATGATGTATACCTGAAACTAGAAAATCTCCAGATACCAGGATCATTCAAAATCAGAGGCATTGGAAACCTAATTAAAAAGGTAGCATAATAAATGCATAGATGTATGTGTAAGAATGTAGCCTTTAGCATGCATGTGGCAACTGAAGATAATCATGCAACCAATACATTTTGCCATTTCATCTAATTCTGCACTATTTGCTTACTGATCATTTGGTAAATATTTTGAAATATCCTCTAAAATGATGAATAATATTGTTATTAGTTTAAACTTATTTATTCAGTTTGTGTTTGAAAGCTATAAGCTTTTTGAAACACTCTCAAATATGTTTTTATAACAAACCAGTACTGAGGAATGAGTGTGATGCTTGCTCACGGAACTGCTTGCCCCTGATCGGGTTTGAACCTAGATTACTAGTCTGGAGCGTTAACTACTCGATCACGCCGCCACGTCCATATTAAAGAATGGACACATTTATTAAAGATTTTTAAGCATGAAGTAATCAACAATACAGCTATCTTATTAACTGCTCTAAGAAACACATTGATCAAAATAGACAATACAGCTATTTTATAAACTGTTGTAATCAGACGTAAACTGAGTAATTATTATATAAACACATTATATGACTAAATGGCCAAGTATTTAATTTATTTATCATAATCATTTTTTTTTTGGGGGGGGGGGCGGGGGGTTAAATCTCAGTATATATGTCATATTGACTGATACAAGGATCAAAGCTATCCAGTTACTGTGTGGAAAATAGTCATTTTGCTGAAAATAAAAAAAAAAAAAACGTTTGAAAATAAAAATAAAATAGGTACAGCTCAACCTGAATTATAGTCACAGTCAAGGGTTGGTTATATTTGATTATTATGCTCCCCACTTATTAAAATTAATAGTTATTTGTCATTCCTTGCTGGTCCTTGTAGTAATATTAACGTCAATTGATATTACGTTGGTGTGTTGGTACTTTTTTTACACATCTTATCTTTGGGTGACCCATTGAAGGGTGAAAACATCCATTGAAAATGTTGATATCTTTGTAAAAAAGAGGAAATCAAACATAACTGGTAGAACAAAACAATTTAAGCCAGGTGCTGTGTTTAATTGTAAAGTATGATATTGGTTCCAGGCATCACAGCATGGTTGTAAGAAGATAGTTTGTGCATCAGGAGGAAATGCTGGCCTTTCAGCAGCATATGCAGCTAAAACACTTGGTATTCCTGCAACTATAGTGCTCCCTGAGAGTACCTCAGGATTTGTCATAGATAAACTCAGAAACGAGGTATAAATATAAGATAATTTTATAAATCCATTTAATGGACCTCCACTGAGATAAAAAAAAAACTAATGAACATGAAAATTGAAAATTCTTACATAGATCAAGTGAAGCACATACGAGTATAATGGATATTAAAGAAATAAACTCAGAAATATTAAATATCGTTTTTTTGTGAGATTTTGAGCCCGATTTTAGTGTCAATTTTCACAGGTGCTCGTCCAGGCTTGGTTCCCATACAACCCCCACCTACCCCCCCCCCCAAAAAAAAAAACAAAACAAAAACAAAAAAACTAACACACACACACACACACACACAACTCCACTGTGTGCTAAATGAAAGTAAAAAAATTGAAAAAATGTTTTTCCTATATACTTCTACCACGAAAAGGTCACCTAGTGGCCGTAATGCTATGGAGCTTTACTAGGACATGCCGTGGAACAATCATAATGCCAAGTTCTGTAACAATACAGGCTACTTTACTACTCTTTATACATTATACAAATTGTTAACATCTTTCTTCTACCTTGTATACAGTGTAAAATAACTTAAATTTAAACTTTTAAGCGGAACAGTACTAAGTAGGTTTTGTAATTTCGTTAACGACAAAATGGTCGATCATGACTCTTATCTTTTGCAAGATTTTAACAAGTTGAGAGTGTCCGAGTTTAAATGTAAGTATTTATATAGTACATACAGTATAAAGGACAAATTCTTCCATTAGTCAGAGACAAGTTGTTTTTGGATTTTTATTTTTATTATTATTTAAGTAGTATTCCTTTTATTGGGGGGGGGGGGCAGAGTATAGGCACCAAGACGGGACGAGCACCTGTGTCAATTTTAGGTCATTTTGTACACTGAAAATGACGGTTATTTTGGAAAAACAGGACTAGGGAATGTCCTGAAATTTGTACACACGTTTGTTCGTCGGATTTACATCTAATGCGAGCAGATCTTCGAAAAGACATGTCCAGTCCCGTCAAACCACAAAATCTGACAGTTGAGTCTCTTTAATGACAGGGATAATGTCATGCTTAATTAGAATGACACTGCTTTTTAATTAGGGATATTGAATTATATCATTCAATGATTCAAGATATCTTAAAACATCAGCTAATATCAAAATGCTAGTTAAACGCTTTAGCTGAAATTTCTGACGGAAGGGGGTGGGGTGGTCTTTTGTTTACTCCCATCAGTAATTCAGATCACTGCATCAGTATGACGTAAACCTGTAAAAAGTATTATCTCGAACACTTTCTTAGAAATGTTTCATTTTCCATGTTAAAGTTTAATTTGACAGTTTTAACCAATTTGTATATAGAATGTTAAGGAAGTGTTACCTTCAAATACAAAATAACATCTAAAACATAATAGAAACTTGTATTTAAGTATAAAATCAAGTATCGATTCAAAACAATCCCTAGCATATAAAAAACTAGTATTTCAGTAAAAAAACTAGTATATTTCTATAAAAGATAGTATTTCAGTATAAAAATGAATAACATAAATAATATAAATTTTTTAAGCTACAAACCATAACATTTTAATCAACTGTTATTTTCTTTGTTGCACTTCTGTTTATATGGTATATTTTACTGACAAAATAACAGTATGGAGCAGAGGTGTTGCTTCATGGCAAAGTATGGGATGACAGTAATAAATTTGCAGCCGAGATGGCGAAAGATTCAGGTGTGATTTTGGTTGTTGAAACTAAAATTTAATAGTAAAACTATACAGTTTTTATCAAATATTTTAATGACCTTTTGAATTAAATTTTCTATGCATCATCTTTAAAATGACTCCATTGAGGACTGGTCAATTGTCATAATGAAAAGTAAAATTTCATAAACCGTACATTTTTTTTGTAAAAAAAAATCTAACTTATATAAAATTAGCAACTTTTTTCCGTTGTTAAAATTCAGGTATAATTGTAAAAGAAAAAAATTCATATTTATATTTTTTTCACAGATTGTTTGTTTGTACACCCATACGACCATCCAGATATATGGTAAGTGTCTTTGCTCTTGTTTTGGAACAATTAAACCCACCTGCTTAGTATTCAATCTTTATCTCAATTATTCGATGAATAGAGAAAGCTATTGTTCTCAGCCTGACGTTGGTATTGCTGCACAATTTGGTAAAAAGTCCATTATGTGTGAGAAATAGTTACGTTGTAATACTTTCATTTCTTTTTTTGAAAAAAAAAACAACTTTTTAATTTGGTATCTTGGTACAGCTTGCAAAAACATACTCATTTGCTATATGCATGTACACTGTACTATATCCGTTTGCATCTATAGTGATGTTGACAATTGGTATAATTTATAGTGAATTATTGATAGTATTTTGTATGGATGTCTAAATACTACATTGTTAATATTTGGCTACCTTTACAACACATAACTGCATGTTCAAAGGAACATTTTTGGCCGGGTTGCACTGGTGCAAACCCGGGTTATAGTATGGTGAATGTCAGGCAGCGGGCGGGCGGGGAAAAACTTCGTAACAGTTTTCTCAGATACTACTTATCACAGCCCCTTGATATTTGGCACACAGCATTGACATGTGGTCTCATACCGTGGGATTCAATTCCAGGTATTTGGCTCATCCACTTTCTGTTTATCGACTTAGTTAAATTTTCAACATTTATTGTCAATGGTTGGAAATTTTCGTAACAGTTTTCTCAGTAAGTCCTTTTCACAGCCTGTTGATATTTGGCATACAGCATTGACACAGGGTTGCAACGGTGAGATTAGATTTCAAGTTTGTCACTCATTCTTTTCCTGTTTACCGACTTAGTGAAATTTCCGACATTAATGGACAATGGTAGGAGGAAATTTTTGTAACAGTTTTCGCAGCAACTACTTATCACAGCTTCTTGATATTTAGCATACAGCATTGCCTCATGGTCCCATACTGTGGGATTTGATTTCAGGTCTGTCGCTCATCCACTTCCTGTTCACCGCCTTAGTTTATTTTTTGAAATTAATGGTCATTGGTTAACATTTTTTGTAACATCACAGCCTCATGATATTTGGTATACAAATGCAACCCGGCCTTTTCTGTTTTTGACCCATTTTTTAACATTTATATTTGTTCCACAACAATTATGAAACAAGATGCTATATAAATATAGGGAAGGACATTCAAGCATGATTGAGGAAGCTGCCCAGCAGATGCCATGTAAACCAGATGTTATTATTGCATCTGTCGGAGGGGGAGGACTACTCAACGGTGTTATGGTGGGCATGAAAAAAGTTGGCTGGAGTGATGTCACCTGTATTGCTATGGAAACTATCGGAGCAGATTGTCTGAATGTATCACTTAAAGCTGGCAAAATTGTTACATTACCAGATATAACTAGGTGAGATATTTATTATGGTATATGTAAAGATGTATAACAATAGTTGACGAGGAACAAAAAAAAATCACAATTTGCTGATAATAAGTCACATACTGTTCAGGAAAATCACTTGATACTGCTTGAAATTTGTAAAAAAAAAAGTTGACTAATTTTTTTTTTAATAAAACAGGTTGAGCCAATTTTACTTACCTGTGGAATAAATGTTTTTGAAACAGTCAATATTATATGATTTCAACGTTGTTTTTTTAGTATTTTACAATGTGTTTCATTGTTACATTTTGGCTAAAAACATCATTTAAACCTATTTCTATAATTAATATTGTATATTAAGCTAAATAATTAAATACAGTTGTAATTGTAGGTTTATTAGGATTGTATGTTATCTAAAATTGTTTCATTAAAAGAGTGTTAAGATTTTTTTACTGTACTACATGTATCTATTAGCTAGGGTTATATGTCGACCAAGATTTCGGTATAAATCTCTCACCGCAAAGCAACTTAATCTACCAATTATTAAATTATTAAATCAACTTATTAGTTTTAATGTCGCGTTTCTCCATTGTGTTAACATTGCAAGCTTAAGTTAAGGTTTTGCATTTTCAAAATGAACAATTGACCTTTTCTTTCAATCATTTTATAACTTTTTCATTGTATTGTTGTCATAAAATGTATTGTTAAATGAACTTGCACCATCTGATTTGTTACTAATAGTAAAGTTATTATAAAAATATTTGGTTTTAGGATAATTTTCCTACATTCAATGCTTTCAGATGATAAAATTAATTCACAGAACTTTATCAACAAACTCACTTTTGTTTAAAATTGAACATTTTGATAATTAAATGTTTACTTTCTGTCAAGAAGAAACACTTAAAAATCATTTACGAATTGGCGCTACACAGGGGAGTCACTTGCTTTATAAAGACAAAGGTGTCCACTCCATAACGTTTTACCGAAATATCTGGACACAAGTGATCACCATTAAAAGTCGACGTGCAGATCGCAATAAATTGGTTGCAACAACAAGGTCAAGGTTTCACTAAAATATCAAGGGTAAAATAGTCTACATTTCGTTCCCGCTTTATAACTTTAAAGCTGAAACGTATCATTAAAATAACATGGCACAAGTGGTCACCATTATCTATCATATTTCCATTCCAATGATCAAGATCACACTTGAATGTTAAGTGTCAGAAAGTCTTCATATTGTTCCCACTCCATAACCTTTAAACCGCTGATTGTTTTTAAATTACTTCGCAAAAGTAATCACCATTTTGAGACGATGTGCATAGCGCAATAATTGACTTGCTACACCAAGGTCAAGATCATACTTACAGGTCAAGTGTAAAAAGTCTATATTTTGTCTCCGCTCCCTTACCTTTAAACTAGTGAAAAGTTTCTGAAATAACTTTGCACAAGTTATCCCCAATATGAGATGATGCGCAGAGAACAATAATTGAGTTGCTACCCTCAAGGTCAAGGTGACACTTAAAGTTCACGTGTTAAAAATCTACATTTCAAAGCTGCTCTATAACTTTAAAACCGCTGCAATGAACGATTTTTAGGTAACGTGGCAGAAATGATCACCATTATGACACCATGTTCAGAGTACAACAATCAGTCAATACTCCCAAAGTCAGCGTCACACTCAAAGAACCTATGTTAAAACATCTTTTTTTCATGTCCGTTCTATAACTTACTGACAATTCAAAGGTATAGAAATTACTTGAACTATGGCAAAATTTTCAGAACGCGACATCTAGGTTGCTACCCTCGAGGTACATCCAGGTTGCTACAGCCAAAGTCTATGTCACACTTAAAGGTCAAAGGATAAAATCCACATTTTTCTGTCCGCACCTTACTTTTTAAACTACAGACAAGTTTTTGAATGACTTTTGCACAAATGATCAACATAATGGTATGATGTGTGAAGCGCAATATCAAGATTGCTACCCCCAAATTCTAGGTCATACATAGATAATACATACACAGGTAAAATGTTAAAAGTCCTCTTCATTACTTTCTAACTACTAAAATGTGTAATTTTATCGGCACAAATGATCATCATCACCTGCAGAAGGCAACAGCAAGGTGGCTTCCTCCACGGTCAAGGTTATATCATATAAAGCATTCTTGTTATTCTCACCTGAATGATTGTAAGACATAAAGACTATCACAAATAACACACCAGAGTCACAATAAAAGTATTATAAGCTAAACCAAGACATATCACTAAAGTCCACGGAACATCAATTTTCTCCAAAGCATGATACCAAAAAGTATGTAAGAAACTTGGCAATATATGTAGTCTAACTTTACCCATAGTTTCCAAGACCTTAACCCTAAAAATTCAAACAATATAAGAGGATCTACAAAGGTATCCCTATGAATATGGAAGATAATTGGTCAAAAGCTATAACCAGACTATTGTGATAAACGAATGTGCGTATGATATGTATGGGACAACGTCAAGGTCATGGTTCGTTACAAATAGAAACGTGCTCATTCTAAATCGCAATCTGTGTAATGGTCTTTCATTATTCAGTGGTTTTGGCCTGCTTACTACACACTTAACCCTCTGCTCCCTTTCTCAGTTGGCCATAGGACATACCATGTAGGCATATGAAAAAGGAAAACACAGTTCCCAAACAGATCAAATATTTTCTACCCCACGAAAAATAAAAATTAGATTTTTAACATTTAAGATAACCACACTACTTTTGAGAAATAATTTTATTATGATTGTCATGGCATACATTGAGATTGACTTTGAGGATATAATTCAATTAAACTAAAGAAAGTTTATATATAAGCCTGTGAGTTTCACGCAGTGGATGTAATGTATTTCAAATTAAAAAAAAACACTTAATATTTTTCTTCTATCATAATCAATAAAAATCGAGCTGTACATAAATAGGGTTTTTCCAATTGAATTGACTGTTCAATATATATGTTATAAAGAATGGAAACTTCATTATATTTTCAGTATAGCTTGTCTCGGAGCACTAACCCCATCTGCAAAAACTTTTGAATTTGCACAATCTTTTGAGAAGTTTCATTCTGCTGTTGTTGAAGATAAAGAAGCAGTTTCAGCCTGTCTTAGATTTGCAGGTATTTTTTACTTATTGTACACCCTTTTCCAATCAAGTTTTTTGGGCATCCATTGCCGATTGGTCAAGGTCGTTACTTCAAACTACTAACTCCTTACCGATGAAGGTTTGGATTTTGACAAGGACTTTGGATTCTTTTCGCGAGGAAGCTATACAGCTAGCTTAAGAAACATCTATGATTCTACTCAGGTACCTTTTTATACCTAAAATAATGCACAGAATGACACCTGAGGTCTTTCACTACCAGTAAAGTTGAAAAGTACCATACGACACATGAAACCCAACCGAAACAAGTTTTGCATGGTAAAGATGTATCTCTTACAGAGTGCACTGTTTGAAACAAAACGGATTCATATATGATAAGTTGAATTGTAATTTGTGTTTTGAATGTTTATATCATGTTGTTAATGAATATGACCATTTAAAATGAAGAGTAATTTCTTTGAAATATTAACAATATAGAATAAATGCATACATTTGTGTGTTTAGCTACAAATAAATTTAACTGTTTAACTGTAAACCCTGTTTCTTTTTTATTCTCTAAAGATGATCACAAATTGTTGGTAGAGCCAGCATGTGGGGCCAGTTTAGCTGCTGTGTATGGAACAATAATACAGGATTTACAGTATAGAGGGAAATTAGGAGACGTAAAGTCAGCTTTAGTAATTGTATGTGGAACGGGCTCTTCTACTCTTAAACAGCTGCAGGCTTGGAGAGATATGTTTAACCTATGAGAAAAATAAAAATGCACATATGACCAATACTATTTTGGTGCAATGTAACCCTGCTTCATTAAAAAAAAAAAAAAAAAAAAAAAAAAAAAAAAAAAAAAAAACAACACACACACACACACATATAATAATGCATTTAAAAGTTGCTTCTCATAAAAAACAGAGCATGCTGAAAATAAACATTTAAGCTTAAATATTATTATAATTATATTGGTGTTTGATTATACAGGGTCATTCATATTTTCATGAATTAGTAACCATTGTCATGTTGTTATTATTGATATACTTTTATGCCCCCGCCATTTAATGAATGGCCGGGACATATAGTGTTACCTTGTTCCGTCATTCTGTCATTTCGTCCTCCCGTCATTCTGTCATTCCGTCATCATCAGTTTCCGTTCATTATCTTAGTTACGGTTGCACACATTCAACTTAAATTTGACATATGTATATGTCGAGAAAATACAGGTCAAGTTCGAATTTGGTCATGGTTTAATGATTTTGGCAATGTTATGCCCCTTTTATTTTAAAATAATATGAAATTTTCAGTTTCCGTTCATTATCTCCCGCACTGTATCACACATTAAACTAAAACTTGACATATGGACATGTCATGAGAAAATACAGGTCAAGTTCGAATTTGGTCATGGTTCGATGATTTTTGGCAGAGTTATGCCCCTTTTACTTTGAAAATAATATGAAATTTTCAGTTTCCGTTCATTATCTCCATAACGGTACAACACATTCAACTCAAATTTGACATATGGATATGTCATGAGAAAATACAGGTCAATTTCGAATTTAGTCATGGTTCGATGATATTTGGCAGAGTTATGCCCCTTTTACTTTGAAAATAATATGAAATTTTCAGTTTCCTTTCATTATCTCGCCAACAGTACAACACATTCAACTCAAACTTGACATATGGATACGTCAAAGAATGCGCAGGTCAAATTTGGTCATGGTTCAATGATTGTGGCAGAGTTATGCTCCTTTTGACTTGGAATATAATATGAAATTTTCAGTTTCTGTTTATTATCTACCCAACAGTACAACACATTCAACTCAAATTTGACAAATAAATATGTTTTTGGAATTCCCAGGCCAAGTTCAAATTTGGTCATGGTTCAATGATTTTTGGCAGAGTAGTGCCCCTTTCACTTTGAAAATAATATAGATACATCTTAGGACTAAGTAGTTTAAGTTTGAATTTGGTCGTGCTTCAATGATTTTGGACAAAGTTGTCTTTCCTGAATGTTGGAAAAAATTTGAACTTTCAGTTTCGGCACTCATACTTTTGTGGAAATGTATGTAGCCATTTTTTTGGCTACAAATATGCAATATACTATTTTCAAAAGGTTAAGACTGAATAATTTCAGTGCCTTGAACATTGTATGAAAATGGTTTGTGTTAACATTGAAAAGTTTTAAGGGCTTTGAACTTAAATGAAAAAAATACTTTGAGCAAACAAATTTGGAACTAAATATGATAACATCTGAAATTTTGGCTGCATGCGGGGGCATCCGTGGCATGATGACACATTTCTAGTTTTGATTTTGTGACTTTTTGATAGAAAAGTGTTTTGTCAAATGCATTTGGACTTAGTAAGAACGAATGTTTAGTATATTTTATATTTTTCAGTGTTGCTCATGTTATTGACTGTCCATTTCTGCTTATAATTAAGACTCAAATTACAAATATAGTTATAAAAGCGTCTTATAATCGAATAATTCAAAAAACTGATTGAAACGTTTAGAAATTTCTTTTTATTTATCTTGCGATACTTTCATATTAGGTAAATCTTTCAAATAGGTAAATATATAGGTAAATCGGGAAGATGTTAGTTTTTAGTAAAGGTACATTGGGGAGATTTATTGCTTTTATTGACGTTCTATATATTTAGTATAGGTAAACGGGGGAAGATTTATTGCTTTTATTGACGTGTCACATTTAGAATAGGTAAATGAGAGAAGATTTATTGCTTTTATTGACATTCTATGTTTAGTATACGTGAATGGGGGAATATTTAATATTGTTTTTCTTGATATTTAGTGTAAGTAAATAGGGAAGATTTGTTGCTTTATTGATATCAAAGCAATAATTGCAATTAAAACTAGTGTTAATTTGTTTGACTTTTGATGTCTATATCTTTTCAAAATAAAGACTTATAAAGCAATTTTAAAGTTGTGGTTATCAAATTGTGTATAGTGAGAGAAAAAGTGACGACTCAATATGCAGAATCATGACCTCGGTCAAAAGTACCATGTTGGTAACAATGTGTCCTTGCTGTGTTAATTGCTTTACACATATCTTTTTTTGTTGGTTAAAAGGTGACAAGCAGTAAATAAACAACTATGCACAGACTATGAATAATAATATCTGTCGTATGTTGCGGTACGGATCGAAATGCCCGTCCCGAGGGGATTCGCCCATTGGTCAGTAACGAGGCTTGCTAACTCGGGAGGATAACGCTATCAAGAGCCGTTTTTATTTGTTGTTTTCAAGAAACACGATGCCTTGGCAGTTATGTCGAACCTCCACCAACCACCAACGAACGAACGAAGAATATGTTAAGGGAGATCAGCATGAAAAAGACATTCTCAATGCGACTTCTAGAGTGGACCGGCATGGACGCTGAGATCTCGGACATGGAACTTCCGGCGCCGAGCTGAAATAAATCTAAAACAGACACACCTTACCTTTTGTTAGGCCTTTTGTAACTCGCTTGTAAATGTCACTTCGTCATTCTACTGTACAATGTAAATGTATATTCAAATTAAGGTAACATGTAAAAAGATCCTTAGATGAGTCTATACAACTGCATCCAGGATAATAATGTGCCGAAGACCTTAGATCAATTTCCAGACTGTTTTGATACAATTTTCTAAGTGTGTATTCTACACATATAGGTCTGTATTTATCAAAAATACTGTAAATAGTTTTGGATTTTTTCCAAGCTTGATATTTTTCTAAATATCAGTATTTTAATGTGTATATCTAAAATACAGGTCTTGTCTCAAAAATTCACATGGATATTTCTTAAAATACAACTGTATTTCTTGGCCAAAATATCAGATTCAGAAAAAAAAGATCAATTAACCTGTATTTGTATAGATAAAAACAAGTGTTTTTCAGTATTTTTACAGTTGTGATATAGCAGTTTATGTTGTGCAGACAATGGCAAGTAATTGGCAACTAACTTTTAAAATGTATAAGAATAACACAAATCATTTAACGGATGTCAGATCTGTTGTCACGAAATGAAACAATGATTTAATAGGAGGAGATAATAAAGTTTCAATTACCTTATAATTACTTTAGCGCTCTGATTATCGGTCGGCTAAATTAATTTGTTTGGAAACAAATGTCCGCAAAGTCTTGAGGTTAGCTCAAAACCGGAATCGTGCAACCAGAGTTCGATTCCCGGTCAGTGCAGGCAATTATTGTTGTGATTGATGAAGACTTTTTTAACGGGTTTTTGCACTGTACATACTAGCATGTAGAGTAGTTATCAGTTTCTAGCACTAGTGAATGGAACTGGTACTTGTAAACTGCCTGACAGCATGCCAAGGAACGATGCGGTGGCTGAACTGTGCTCTGGTAAATGCATTAGGGCTAACTGTCGTGAAAACTACAGATAGGCAACTTCATAGCAAGTTAAGAAATCACTCGTGCTCGTAACCTTAAAACTTGTAGCAAGTAAGTTTATAAACAAGATATCAAAATGCAGTAAACTAATACATTTTCTGAAAGCTTATGCATTTGTCTAACGCTACAGGTAAAAAAACTTTTTAAGAGCACTATTTATTAACATTTATTACACAAGTATGCATATGACGAAAAAGGATCAAATTTATAAATTGCTACAACATGCCTAATTTTTCACTTTTTGATAGGCATGTGTGATATGTCAATGGAGTATATCAGACTGCTTATCTACATATCTGGCCATGCTTTCAGACAAGTTTGTTATTGAGTGAGGTTAATATGACATGGATGAGTTTATTGTACATTTTAGAGGACAATACTGAATTTTATTTGACGACTTCACCGCTGTCAAACTTATATTGGACGAGGCGCTAGCCATACCTGATATGGCTTTACAATTGACTACGAATCCAATAGATTAATATTGTTTTAAGAGTATTTAATGAAATCTTTATTTCACATTTACATTGTTTTGATATAGCTTTGTAACTTCAAGACTTAGTATAATAAGGAATTGATACTTGTTAATTTTTTTTAGACCCAGAAAATAATAACAACGCTAGATTAATTATTCACAATTCACAAATAACAACTGGTTAGTTAATTTTGATACACAAGAACGAAGTTAAACGTGGTTTTGCATACAATTATTTTCATTATTCATGATATAACATTATAAACAGTATTTGATAACAGAAGAAATACAAAAAGGACAACTAAAAGAGACGCAAAAACCACTCAAATAAGTTTTTTTGATAAAAAAGAAATGATTATTCAAATCGACAGCTGTTATAGTCGTTTGAAATTGTAACTTAAATCAAACATACCATGTACATGTACTTGTTAGTTTCAAAATTGTACTTGAAAATCCAGTTTTTATATTATCTTTTCAGATCCGTGGTATTGGGTTTCTAATCATTTGCAGAATAATAGTATATAGTTTTTGTTTCCTCTCCTATAGTGTTAAAGTAACACAAATACATCCGTACAGTGATCTTCTTTTGGCTCAAAATTCATATCTTTGGCTAATTCTCCGTATACATTGCAAAAATGTAAATTGTCACCACTGCGCTTCAATATTAACTCTTTAAGGGCATAAATGGTGACATGGCCGTGCCCGTAGTCGACAGCGAAATCTGTTTTTTTGTGTACTTTAATGGGCGGATGGACACTCGTTAAACGTATTACGAACGAACGTACGTACGTACTAACATACATGCATGCCCAAAGCCACATTAAGAAAAAAGTATCCGTCGTTAAAAAAAAATATTTTTACCATATTGCAATTAACTGTTCAATAATACTGTGAAAACAGGTAAGTAAAAAAATCAGAATAAATGATGTTCCAAAAATGGAAGTTTTGCCGAAATGAAAAATTCAAAATAAGCTATAACGCACCGAGTAATGCTAAACAAATATTCCTTTACCACCAGGGAAGTTTTATTATTGCATAGATAAGTAAAATCTGTTTTACTATATTGAATTGTGTGAACACAAATCGATCAGATCTTGAGGCCAAGCTCAGAGAAGCGGGCGTGTCACAAGATAAGGCTAATCAATATAAAATAATTTTCTTAAGTCCATCAGTGCAAATATAGAACTGGGGGATATTGACAGATCACGCCGTCTAGGAAAATCATTAAACACTCAGATCAACGTAAAGCTTCGCGACATCATTGTGAAGTTTACCTGTTACAGATCACACGCAAAAACGTTTGAATACGTGTGTCACAATTCAAAGGTACTTTTATCAATGAAGACCTCACACACACGAGAAGCGGAATATTTCTTTGAATGTCGAAAACTAGCTCGCAAGCATCTTATTACAAATATTTGGACATCTGATGACATCATAATGGTCGAATCTACAGAGGATAAGCTGTATCGTCTTTTAGAGACGACAGCTCGAACACTACAAGAGGAATAACAATATAATTTCAACGTAATGTTTTTGGACGACTTTTTATTAACTTACCTTTTTAATGAATTGTTTACTTTTCGCACACCTTTTTTTTCAAGGAGACATCCATTTTGACTTTCTTTCCAAGTACAATATAAAAGAAGTAATTTGATTGGCTCATATTAATTATAATAAACGAATCGACTTCTAGGTTATTTTATTATTGTTATCCAATCACTTGTTAGTTAATTGTCTGACGAAGGCAGTACATCTCTCTTCCCCCTCGGTACTTGCACGTCGTTGGGAAGGCACAAAAATCTGCAAATGATTCAAGAACCAATGCTACTTGTAAGACGGCAAACTCGCATGTTTTTAACAGCTTGGGGTTATATATAAAGCGGTACGACTTAGCTAGTATGTAATTAACTGCCGGTGTCCTGATAAAGCCGAGAGATGTGCCCCTACAAAGTAGGCACAGTTGACAAGGATGGTGTAATAGGAAGCGTGACCCCCTAGTACGAATGACGGCTTGTAAGACAGGCCCTTTGCTCGGTATCAACAGCCCTTTAAACGGCTACCTCCTTTCATTATTGTCTAAGGTTATTGTGCATTTAGGTTCTAATTAACCGCCGTACAGTGACCTATTCTTGGCTCAAAATTCATACCTTTCTTATATTCTGTGGAAAAAAATTGCATGGAGGTAAATGCTTCAAAATTTACTCTTTTAAGGACATGCCTGGTGACATGTCCGGGGGTCGTAATCGACAGCGACAGCTGCTTTTGTAGGCAGGTGGACCCTCATTAAACTATATACATACATTGTTAGGCAATACCGTCCGGTTAGCTTAATATATAGAGTGCTAGACTGACTGTAAATTGGGCGAACCGGGTTCAATTCCCGGACGATGCAAGTCACTTTCGCGGGAATTGATCATGAAATCTTTTTTTCTACAGTCTTTCGCACTGTATATCTGCTCTTGAATGTACAGAAGTTTCAGTTCCTTGCGGAAGTGGAGGTAACTTACTAGTTAACTTCTTGACAGCCTGACAGGAACGACGCGGTGGCAGAACTGTGCTCTGGCAAATTCAGTGTGGCTTACTGCCGTGATCTGAAGTGAAAACTAGCACGACCACCATTGTTAAGCAGTTCGTTCTGCACCATCTAGGTCAGTACAAAGCTCAAGTCTTGACTTTAGATGAAGACTCGAGTTTTAAAGTAAACACTTCCAAGTGTTAATATAATTCGACTGCTTACTGTCAATTCATAATTTCATATAGCTGTATTAACCTTAAATAGAAATCGTTCCTTAAAAATATTTTCATTCATAAACTTAATATGTTCATAATTGAGAACTGATTAATAGATTATTGTTTATTTAAATTATCTTGGTTGTTATTGAATCCCATCAATAAATCCACAGAATACCATTATAAGTACGGCCTCGTGTCCGAGCAATATTGTGACTGTCCATTAGGTACTTCGGATGTTTGAAAGAAGATAACATGTAAATGATAATTCAGCTGGCAAAGTATTCCACAACGAACAACTCAAAAGCAGAAGGAACCAAAACATGTTACCTTTGGAATTGCAAATGCACCCTTGTTACTTAACCTAGTTTTGCAAAAATGAATAGTGACCTGTTGGATGAAATATTTATCTATGTAATCTGGAGCCAGACATTTTTGTACTTTAAAACCATGGCAAAGAATGATCTGATTTACACGTGCATTGACTGATAACCAGTTGAGTGAAGTGAGCTAAGGAGATTAGGACCAATATGTGGCCAAGCATTAAGATAGGGACAAACCTAATCAGCTTATTCTGAGTAACTTGAAGTTTATTTTTCGAGGATTTGGACAGACCGGGCTACCATATTGAACAGTAGTAATAATACTTCATCATGGACATAACTTGAAGTTTCCTAGTTAGGTAATCCTTATTGCGATATAAATATTTCAAACGTACATTATCTAAAGATAGTGATCAATGAGGTATTTGACCGAAGAACTTGATTTGTATGTCAGTATATTACAAGAAGTTGCCTTTACATTTAATATTAAGGAATTAATTTCACTTAAGTCGGTGTTAAATGTCAAATAAGATTGACTCATTCTCGCCCAATTTTAGTGATAACTTTTTATCCACCATCCGATGGATAAGAAGATGTAAATTTCTTTCCAGGAATCCTAAATAGTCAATTGTTATCGAATAATACTCACCATCATCAGTTAAAGAAATTTTCTTTCGCACGATCAACCGTTCTGTTTACACCAAAATATCCCCAGAGTGTATTAAACCTTTAATTCCAGAGCATAGTGATTTTTGAATAACAATTCTTTAACCTCAAAATGTAAGACAATTTTCATAACTTAGATTATCCCTATGATACCAGAACTCAATAATATCTGATAGGCATCTTGACCCCCCCCCTCCCCCTTGGCAGTCTTCAATGAAAGTTTGTTTTAATATGTCCATTTACCACAACTAGTTATTTCTCAGATAATACAATCTTTGATCAGTGATGTCGAGTTGTTTACGGACAGTGCGCATATGTGTGTCAAGTCCTTGAACTGAACTACTTTTGACTCCAAATCTGATAAACACAATCACTGGCCGTTTTTTTGCCTGGATCATGGATAACTGTTATGATGTGCTTTTGCAATTGTATCAAAATATTTACAGTCAATGTAGCGCAGTTTCAGTTACATTTCTTGACGCGTATTCAATCGATCGGCCAGTTTGTATGTGGCTATGTCGTACTAGGAACTCTCTTATATAAGTGTTGCTTCCGGGTCGGAATAACCTATATCTGTTTCTTCAGAAACGATGTGTTTGAACTTTTGAAAGGTTCGATCATGTTGATCTTGCCAGTAACATTTGACATCGGTCGTTTCTTAAGAGTCTGTTAAGGGGTACTGTGGTGTCTGCATGATTTGGTTCAAAGTTTGCAAGGTATTTACCATACCTTAGATGTTTACTAACTTTGGCCACGCATTTGAAAAAAAAACTTTTTGCTAAAAGTCTTTACCTTGAACTTGGCATGGTTAAAGATAACTTTGCTATTGCATGACAGGAAAAATGGTACTTATATTGTACGTACTCCCGATTTTTCATTTATCTTAGTTTAATTTGACAACCTTTTCTCGTGCGCTCCTAAGCGCGTGTTTTTGATTTTTATCGGTATTCTTCATAACGACCATTTACAATAATGTCGCCGATTTCAGTTTTTCAGATTTTCGTTTTCGCCCTGTCGCTAACGATGCATGCCAAACGGCACGTTATCAGGATGTCATATTGTCGCTCGGCTCAACTTGAAGGATTGGCTATCTGTATAAATATAAGCCAAGAAAGCGCCGCACGACAATGAGCCCTTTTTTGGTGCTTCGCTAGTGACAGGTTGACAAAACGACATTGCAACAGTGCGCCGTTTGGTGCGTTTCGCTTGAGACAAGACGAAAAGGCGATAACGATATAGGTTGAGTTGTCACTATTTTCAACGCAACGCGCAAAGTGTACTAAATCATATATATCAGTGGGTTTTTATAACCACAAGTATAATAGTTGCACTACTTTCTAAACTTACGTAACATGCATACATTTATCTAATCTATCTTATCAGCTGTATTATACATGAGCTAGCACGGGAGTAAATTAAAAGTACACTTTCTTGCAGATTTCTTTCAGTATTAACTTTCATAAACAATATTAGCCGGCCGGACAAGGACGAATTGTGAGTACTTCATTTTTATTTTTTGTATGAATGAATATGACAAAGCTTAATGCGGCTGAATAGCAGTTATCAGCATATTACACCGGGTACAATGTTGCCGATTTCAAACACAAAATTCCACTAAATGAATAGTAAATTAAATATCGCATTGCGCAGTAAAACATTTATTCGAAATAAACAAAAATGATTTATCATTTGAAAAGAAAAAAATATTAGTCACATTTCACAATTTGCTTTATAAAATAGTGGATGGGGTACAAAGATGCATTACATATGTGCACTAACAACTTTGATAATAATGATCATTGTACCTTTTGTAAAAATGAAAACGAATCTAATAAACATTTGTTTTGGCAATGTAGTTTTATAAATTGCATTGAAAATATCTATTTCGAAACAAAAAGGAAGTTTTTTCCCATCATTAACTGCAGAGGAAATGTTGTTTTTATCAACATAATATCAAAAACCATTTTCAGAAACAAACCATCTAATCGTAATATTTTATATTGAAAATGCAAAAGAGCATTTATTCAGTTTAAGGAGCCAAAGCATCATATGAAATATTGGTTCAATATTGAAAAAAGAGTCAATTATAAATCACAATTGTGATACTTTCATCTTTTATTTTATGCGTTTGAGTGGATTACTGATCAATAGGTGAAAATTGTATTTGATAATTTCACAGTGAAAATTATCAAAAATATAATTTCACACTTTTCATTGACGAGACTACTTTTAAAGATTTTCCCTATGTGGTACCTCAATTTTATTTTTGCTGACTATTTTGACATTGTCAGGGCTGTTTAGAGAAAGGCAAAGCTGGAATTGAAAAATAACTTAAATTTCAAAAGTAATGCAAAGAAACATTACTTCAATTCATTAAAATTACCATTCACCAAATATCGTCTCTATACTAACAGTCTAAAAATACACTTTCTTCCATATGCAACTGCACTTGATGACTTTTGGGCATATCTAAGTATCCTACGAGTTATAACTGCCGAATGCAATGAGAAAACTTTAAAGGCAATGACAGAAATCAGCCCGAAGAATAATTTAACAACTCAGCGTAAGTAAGGCAGCCTTTCAACAATTCCAAGGTTTTCTTATTCATAGCCCCTTTTTTTAGTTAACAACAATTATTTCTGTAACAATCCTAAAATAAGTTTCCTTTCTTATAAAAAGTTGTCCAACAGGCCACATGGTATCCCTTCGAATTAAAAGCTATTTTCCCCCCGAGAAATACACATCTTCTAAAATAGTGGCCGCATAATTATTCAAAGCACGGTCTATTATAAATTCACCAAAAATTACGGAAAAAAGGCGGATGGTGTGGCTTCTTCTTTCTACTACAATTGTCTGTTTTTATTTTTAAAACAAGGACGCATTCATATTTTTGGAATAAAATAAATGATATCAACGCCATTTAACGTTTGTTGTGGAACTTATTTTTCAGCTCAAGACTAATCTTGTAAATCGACTAAAATGGGGCTACCAGTGGGGAAAACAGATTTTAAAATTAAAGTTAATATTGAGGAAATTTCATTCAAACTTGTTTTAAGCATAAAATAAAAAAAAATGTTTGTGTGTTGTGTAAGATGTAAATTTATTTCATCTCGTGAACTTTAATAACAGTATTCTTACTCGTGTCTGTGTCACTCGTGAGAATACTAGTTTTAAAGCACACTCGATGAAATAAAATTTCATTTTACTCACAAACAAATATCCTCTATATCATGGCATATGGCACTCTTATCATATTTTTCTTAATTGAGATAAAAACAATAGCTTTTTTATATTCTCCGAATATGCAGACTTTAAATTTTAATATCTTTATACCTATCCCAAAACTACAAAAAGATTTAAGAGAATAGAAAATAACTTAAATAAAGTGACTTTGAATGGCATTTTCTTTATTCTACCTTGAATACATTTACAGCTATTACATTATATAATTCTAAATGCATCATTGCATGGTATTAAATCTGTTCATCAGATATATATTGATCTATCCATCTTATAAGTTTATGTCAATATTCCATTGGACCAAATGATAATACCTTCATTCCTTTCTTCGTTGGTTCCTCCCTCCCTCCCTCTCTCCTTCCTTCATTTCCGTACTGACGTGTGCCGATTCGTCGTCGACTTCAACTGCGCAAATTTAGCAGGGAACAATTTTGTTCGCAATTTAAAGTCTCATATGATAATTATCAAGTTAATGATCGTATTTCAATTTTCTGTCCGATCGTGTATTTCACAACGATATCGGAATATTGGATACGTAGTTTAAAATGGGACTTTTATGTCATGTCAACATTAAGTTTGTCATCCTTCACTAGATCTTTCAAGTAATCATAATGTATCAAAGCTATTCAACTAGTAAAATCGATAAATCGATGAAAAGCCTACTTCCGACTTAAGCTATTAACCACTTAATGTTACAGTAAAACCGGCCCAATGGGTTCATTATAATGGCTAAGGATAAATAAACAAGAAATACACACACTCTTCGTAGAAACTGTTGCTCAAAAGATAAATTTCATACAGTTTCTCGTTGATCTTTCTGTCATTAATTTATTATGCTCCCCGAAATATTTCGGGGGAGCATATAGTCGCCGGGTTGTCCGTCCGTCCGTCCGTCAGTTCATCAGTCAGTTTGTCCGTCCGTTCGTTCGACACAAATTCGTGTCCGGCCCATAACTTCGTTATTTAAAGTCGGAATTTACAACTATTTCACAATAATGATCACCATATTGAGACGACATGTCGCGCGCAACGTTTGGATCGCTACCTTTAAAGTTTGGGTCACAGCAAGACCTTAAAGCAAAATCGTGTCTGGCCCATAACTTTGTAATTTGAAGTCGGATTTAACAACTATTTCACAGAAATTATCACCATATTAAGACGACTTGTCGCGCGCAACATTTGGAGTTTCTACATTGAAGGTCAAGGTCACGTCACAGCATAACCTTGCAGCAAAATCGTGTCCGGCCCATAACTTTGAAGCCGTTAAGTCAGATTTTACAACGATTTCACAAAAATGATCACCATATTGAGACGACATGTGGCGCGCAAGTCGGTAGATAGATCTCATTGAGTAGAAGTGCAGTGCAAAGAACAGTAACTCTGCCTTGCCTAAGTTTGGAATTATCACACTTTGAACTTTGTCTGGGGCATAACTCTGAAACTAAAAAAGATATTCTTTTCTGTGTCCAAAACCTAGTCGGGGAGCATCACCCGTTTCATCCGGCTCTTGTCTAATCTCTGACATGTGTCATTGGTATTATTTCATACATCTGATTGATATACTCAGTGCTTTATCTACATATTCAAGACAGGGATCCCCATGTTTGAGGTTCTGGTTGTCATATCAAAACATAATTACAACAACTGAAATCAATTATAAATCGCTCATATTGTTTCAGTTATAGGCTTCTATTCTAAAGACAGTCATCTAAAAGGTACACTTAAAGGTATATATCGTGATTAGAAATGTGTCTCAATTATACAGGAGATAAAAAAACCACAAAAAATACCAAATTACCATAAAAAGAATGGAAATTATAAAATGCAAAAAAGGAAGTCCGGCTGAAATAAAAAAAACAAATAATGCTCTGTAATGAACATTCGCGATAATTCTTAACATTTTAAATGAAAAAAAAATTACCAAATTTAACCAGTTTAATGCGAGTATGCAAGTCTCCAGCTTTATCAGGGTTTATTGAAATAATTCATTATTGTTCAATTTTAGCATAAGTCTCCTACAACTTCTTATAGGACTGATTTTTGTTACAATATTCTTAAAGATTAAAGGATCAATATGTACAAGAATGGAACTATGAATAAATTATGCCATTAATTAAATTTTAAACAAGACTAAGTTATTGAAAAATACATCAAAACCATTGATATTGAAAGATGTAGAACTTGTATGGCAGGATATCGTAGTTCAGCATATAGCCTTATGGTGGAAAAATGTAGATATTATGATATCACTGTTGAATTTAGGAATTGTCCTTTTTGTGAATGTTATTTGGAAGATTTGTACTATTTTGTATTTGTGTGTCCTCTTTACAATGACTTAAGGCTGGTTGGTGGCCCGATTATGCAACAAACGTTTGAATTTGACTTGAATTTGATTGAAGTTGTCAGAAATGTTGTTTTTTAACAGTGTATTTACTAGGGAACACGAATCCCAGACTGTTTTCTAAAAAAATATGAAAGAAATATTCTTATACTCGTTTTTGCACTGTTTTCTGTGGACAAATGACACTACCAGGATTGATGAAATAGTTCATGGCCCTATGTACTTCAGGTAGTCAGAGAAACCAACTAATGGTCTTATTTTTCAATATAATCTCCCTCTACACTAATGCGCTTTGTCCACCTGTGCTCCAACTTGTTTAACCCTTCAAAATAAAGCTCTCTATTTTGGTCCTCAAAGAACTCATTGATCACCTCCATGACACCTTCATTGCTTCCAAACCGTCAACCACAAACCTTGGTTTTAAGTTTCGGACACAGGTAGAAGTCAGTAGGGGTCAAGTCCGGAAAAAATATGGGGATGGGGAAGAATTTCAAAGGCGCAGTCAGTTACAGTAACCTTTGCAAGTCGGGATGTATGAGCTGGCGCATTGTCGTGCAGATGCAGAGAGCTTGATTTAGTGTGTTCCTCCTTTTACGCGCGATGTTTTGACGCAGACGTCTCAATTCGTCTGCATAGTTCGTACCGTTTATGGAATGACATTGCTCGAGATAGTCAATCGTGATTATCCCCTGACTACCAAAAAAAAATTGAAGCCATCAACTTCCCTGCTGATGACACCCTCTTGAATTCTTCGGAGGGGTGAGTCAGGGTGCTCCCACTGCATGCTCTGTTGTTTTTTTTTGATTCTGGATTGAAGTGACGGATTCATGTTTCATCCTGAGTTACAATCCGATAGATAAAATTAGGTTCATCCAAGATATCTTGAGATGTCAAGCCTGGGCCGTTAATGGTCGTTAGTCAACTGTCAGGGGATCCATCTATCGGGAACTTTTGACATGTTGTAGACATCAGTCAGAATTGTCTGAACCGAACCTAAGCCTATACCCACTACCTTGGCAATGTTTCGCAGCTCTCGCCTTCTGTCGCACATGACCAGATTTTGCACAGCTTCGGCATTTTCAATGTTAGCGACCTCTTTTGGCCGCCTGGGCCGCGCATAATCTCCAATGCTCTCCCTTCCCCTCTTAAATTCACCAGCCCATGTTTCACGGTGCTATAGGGAAGGGGGAATCCTTCCAAAGTATCCATGAAGTCTTCCTTGGGGAACATCCCTTTCTTACAGAGGTATTTAATGATGGCTCAGATCGTTCAGCACGACATTATTGTTGTGTAAACATGTTCCGGGTACTTTTAGTTTCTTCTTTTCGGCCATTTTCAACTTGGGTGGTTCCAATATTCCTACTTGAATACTGTATAATCTCCCATAGGATATGTTGCCTGCTTTTTAAATTTGTCTTTTGACGTCTTCTCTGTGATATGCAGGATTCATAACCTCTGATCCCCTTTTAAAATGCCATTTTATATAGTTCCGCCCATTGTTTTCTCGTTTAGGGCAAAAACATTCCCATACGCTGCTTTTCATGGAATGGGAAACCTGGTTCACACTGAAGGTTCCATGATTACCGCCGTATGAACACATCTACGGATGTTTCAAAATTTTACCATTTTCGTGTTAAAGGGATACTCAGGCAAAATAATGATGAAAATATAAGAATTATCTTCTGTACTCAAATCACCCTTAAATGACATTTCTTAAAGTCCCAGCATGAATTTCTGTATAAATTCTATATCTTTTTGGTTTGAAGCTTGAAAATAACTATATATGTTGAACGAAATTTAGACGCCAACAGAATCACCGAAAAGTTAAAAAAAAACAAGTCATGTGATTTGAACAAACCCTGGAAGTTACAATAACAGGTGTTGTGGATATTGTATGATTGAAATAAGTCTAAGTAATTGATTTGACATGTTCTTTAACGTTTCCAGAGTACACAGTGACAACTATTGTGAAATCTTAGTGCTCTAACCTGACCCACGCGGGTCAAGATAGGAAATCACCATTTTATTCTTTATATGGAAAAAAGTTTTGTTCCTTTGACTGTTTAGTGTATTTATTTTGAGGACATTTAGAGAATAATGAATGAAAAATTCAAAACTAAGAAATGAAAATTTTGCCTGTGTCTCCCTTTAAATGTTGAATACTGCTTAAGCCGGTGCAGGTGGCTTGGACGGTAACTTGCTCTTTCCACAACCGTCCATGAACAGGCTCAATCAAACCGAGACTGCAACATTTTTAATTTTGTTGTGTTGGACTTTCTTTAGGGATTCTGTTTTTCTCTACCTTATTTCAACTTTTTCCATTCGGTCTAAATGACAAACCCCTCTACTGATCAAATTGTGTTTTGTGAAACTTAATCTATGCACAACCGCGTGTAACTCGGTCAGTAATCTTCAATACGATATCGATTTCGACGTATCGTGTGTAAATGTGAGTGTTGTGGCTAGAAGTATATCGGGACGATAACCTTTTGATCATACCTCGTATATAAGCTGTAAACACAGATTGTTTTTCTTTTTATAAAAGGTGTAGTTTACATCTAACTGTTTCTATAGATTGCCAGGTAAACAACTACTGGTATAACATGGCATCTGGAGAGGGACCCCTTCATATTGTAACACCAACTATATATAGTATGCCTTTAAGTAAACTAACTGGCTATGATGTATACCTGAAACTAGAAAATCTCCAGATACCAGGATCATTCAAAATCAGAGGCATTGGAAACCTAATTAAAAAGGTACCGTAATAAATGTATAGATATATGTGTTATTATTTACCATTTAGCATGCTTGTGGCAACTGAAGATAATCATGCATCCAATACATCTTTGCCATTTGATCTAATTCTGATTTTATTGCTTACTGATCAGTTGGTAGATATCTTGAATTATCCCCTAAATGATGAATTGTTTTGTTATAAGTTCGTACTTATTTACTCAAGTTGGATTGTGTTTGAAAGCTATAAGCAAATTTAAACACTGTTAAATAAGTTTTTGGAACCAACCAGTACTGCGCAATGAGTGTGATGCTTGCTCTCGGAACTGCTTGTCCCTGATCGGATTTGAACCTTCTTGGCCAGCCATCCTTATATGACTAGTTTAAAGCATTAACTACTCGGTCACGCCGCCAAGTCCAGATTGAAGAATAGGCACGCCTATTAAAGATTGTTTAAAGCATGGAAATAGTTAACAATACAGTTCTCTTATAAACTGTTGTAATCAGACTTAAACTGAGTAATTATTGAGGAAACACATTGATCAAAATGCCCATATTACTTAAAGTCAAGTAATTTGTTTAAGCATTATTTATATCTTGTGTCTTTAAATCCCAGTCATATGTGTCATATTGACTTAAACAAGGATCAAAGCTATCCAGGGACTGAGAGGAAAATAGATTCTGCCGAAAATTAAAAAAAAAAACTTTTTAAAAATAAAATAGGCAAAGAACAATTCGAACCTGATATACAATGTATGGTCAAAGTCAAGGTTTGGTTCTATTTGATTATTATGCTCCCCGTTTATAAAAAAAAAAAGTTATTTTGTCAATCCTTGTTTGACCTTATAGCAATTTTAATATCGATTGCTATTATTTTGGTGTGTTGGTACATTCTTTAGAAATCTTATTTGTGGGTGACACATTGTAGAGTGAAAGTCCATAAAGGGGTTGATATCTTTGTATAAAAGAGGAATGAAATATAACTGGTAGAACACAAACAATTAAGCCATTTGCTGTGTTTAATTGTAAATTATAATATTGGTTCCAGGCATCACAGCATGGTTGTAAGAAGATAGTTTGTGCATCAGGCGCAAATGTTGTCTTTTCAGCAGCATATGCAGCTAAAACACTTGGTATTCCTGCAACAATTGTGCTGCCCCAGAGTACCCCAGGATTTGTAATAGATAAACTCAGAAATGAGGTGAAAATATAAGATAATTTTATAAATCCATTTAAAAGGAGTCCAAAAGTGATCAAAAAGCCTAAAAACATAAAAATTGATAGATACATAGATCAAGTGAAACACATATAATAGATAATAAACGAATACACTGAAAATTTCGTTTAAGTGAGATTTTTAGCCATATTTTTGTATCAATTTTTAAAGCAGCTCGTCCAGGCTTGGTTCACATACCCCCCCCCCCAAAAAAAAAAAAAAAATTAATAAAAAAATAAAAATAAAAAAAAAAACACCACCAAAAACAAATCCTCTCTGTGTTAAATGAAATTAAAAATTAAAAAAGATTTTGAAACATTTTTCCCCTATACACAAATGTATACGTCTACCACGAAAAGGTCACCTAGTGGCCGTAACGTAGCTCTACTAGGACACACTGTAGAACAATTATAACGTCAAATTCTGTAACAGTACAGGCTACTTTGCTACTCCTTAAACATTATGCATTTAGCAAGTTGTTAATATCCTTCTTCTACCTTGTATTTAATCTTAAATAACTTACATTTAAACTTTTAAGCGGAACAGTACAAAGTAGATTTTGTACTTTAGTTTTCGAAGGTCGATCATCACTGTTATCTTTTGCAAGACTTTAACAAGTTGAGAGTGTCCGAGTTTAAAAGTCAATTATTTATATAGTATATAGGAAAAAAGCTCCTTCATTTGTCAAAGTTGTTTTGGGATTTTGTTATTACATGTATTTTGTTTATTTTTTTATACTTTTTTTTTGAGGGGGGGGAGGGGGGTATGGGCATCAAGTCTGGACGAGCATCTGTGTCAATTTTAGGTGATATTGCACACTGATAATGATGGTTATTTTGAAAAAACAGGGTGAGGGAATGTCCTGAAATTTTATTCAAACGTTTGTACTCCGGACCTACATCTAATGTGAGGAGATCTTGGAAAACCGTCAAACCGGAAAACCTGACAGTTGGGTTCCTTTAATGACAGGGATAATGTCTGGATTAATTAAAATGACTCTGGTTTTAAATTAGGATATTGAATTATATCATTTAAGGATTCTAGCTATCTGAAAACATCAGCTGATATCAAAATGCCAGTGTAAGCTCTTTAGCTGAAATGTCTGACGGAAGGGGATGGGGTTGTCTTTTGTTTACTCCAATCACTGCATCAGTATGACATAAACCTGTTTAAAAAGAATAATCTCGAACATTTTCTTTGAAATTTTTCATTTTCCATGTAAGGTTTAATTTGACATTTTCACCCATGTGTATATAAAATGTTAAGGCAGTGTTTCCTTCTTATCTAAAACCTAATCGAAACTTTATTTTAGTGTAAAATCCAGTATCGATATAAAACAATCCCTAGCATAGCTGTATAAAAAACTAGTATTTCAGTATAAAAAACTAGTTATTTCTATAAAAGATAGTATTTCAGTATAAAAATAAATAACAAAAATAAGATAAATTTCTTTAAGCTAAAAACCATAATATTTCAATCAACTGTTATTTTCTTAGTTGTACTTCTGTTTATATGGTATATTTTACTGACAAAATTACAGTATGGAGCAGAGGTGTTGCTTCATGGCAAAGTATGGGATGACAGTAATAACTTTGCAGCCGAGATGGCGAAAGATTCAGGTGTGATTTTGATTGTTGAAACTGAAATTTAATAGTAAAACTATACAGTTTTTATCAAATATTTTATTGACCATTTGAATTAGATTTTCTATGCATTACCTTTTAAAGGGCTTCTACTGAAGTCTGGTCAATTGTCAAAAGTAAATTTTCACAAACCGAATTTTTTTGTAAAAAAATGCCAACTTTTAAAAAATTAGCAACTAATTTCTGCTGTTTAAATTCAGGTATAATGGTAAAAAGAAAAAAATTCATTGTTTTATTTTTTCACAGATTGTTTGTTTGTACATCCATATGACCATCCAGATATATGGTAAGTTTCTTTGTTCTTGTTTTGGAACCATTAAACCCACCAGCTTAGAGTTCAATTTTATCTCAATTATTCGATGAATAGAGAGAGAGAGCTATTGTCCTCAGCCTAGTGTAAGCATTGCTGCACATTTTGGTTCATAGCCCATTATGTGTGAAAAATAGTTACATTGTACGTACTACCATTTCTTTTTTTTTTTTTTTTTTGAAAAACTGTTTATTTTGGTTTGTTGGTACATTTTCCAAAAACATAGTCATTTGATATATGCATATTTTGATATATGCATATACACTGTACTATAATCGTTTAAGTCGTTAGTGATGTTGGCAATTGTTATAATTATAGTGAATAACATTTAGTATTTTGTATGGATATCAAAATACTAAATTGTTTACATTTTGCTACCTTTGCGACAAATAACTGCAAGTTCAGAGCAACATTTTTGAATATGTATATTTGTACTATCACAATTGTGAAACAAGATGCTATATAAATTTAGGGAAGGACATTCAAGCATGATTGAGGAAGCTGCCCAGCAGATGCCATGTAAACCAGATGTTATTATTGCATCTGTCGGAGGGGGAGGACTACTCAACGGTGTTATGGTGGGCATGAAAAAAGTTGGCTGGAGTGATGTCACCTGTATTGCTATGGAAACTATCGGAGCAGATTGTCTGAATGTATCACTTAAAGCTGGCAAAATTGTTACATTACCAGATATAACTAGGTGAGATATTTATTATGTAAAGATGTTAAAGGTATATGTAAAGATGTATAACAATAGTTGACGAGGAACCAAAAAAAAATTACAATTTGCTGATAATAAGTCACATACTTTTCAGAAAAATCACTTGCTACTGCTTGAAATTTGTAAAAAAAAAAAGTTAACTAATTTTTTTCTTTTTTTTTTCTTTTTTATTTTGATAAAAAAAGGTTGAGCCAATTTTACTTACCTGTGGAATAAATGTTTTTGAAACAGTCCATATTATATAATTTCAACGTTGTTTTTTTAGTATTTTGCAATGTTTTTCATTGTTACATTTTGGCTAAAAACATCATTTAAACCTATTTCTATAATTAATATTGTATATTAAGCTAAAGAATTTAATAAAGTTGTAATTGCAGGTTTATTAGGATTGTATGTTATCTTAAATAGTTTCATTAAAAGAGTGTTAAGATTTTTAACTGTACTATCTATTAGCTAGGGTTTTATGTCGACCAAGATTTCGGTATAAATCTCTCACCGCAAAGCAACTTAATCTACCAATTATTAAATTATTAAATCAACTTATTATTATTAATCTTGCGTTTCTCCATTGTGTTAATATCGCAAGCTTAAGTAAAGGTTTTGCATTTTCAAAATGAACATTTGACTTTTTCTTTCAATCATTTTATAACTATTTCATTGTATTGTCATAAAATGTACTGTTAAATGAACTTGCACCATCTGATTTGTTACTAGTAGTAAAGTTATTATTCAAAATGTATTTGGTTTTAGGATTATTTTTCTTCATTCAATGATTCCAAATAAAATTAATTCACAGAACTTTACCAACAAACTCACTTTTGTTTAACATTTTTGAAATTTTTGATAATAAAATATTTACTTTCTGTCAAGAAGAAACACTTGAAAATTATTTAAGAATTGGCGCTACACAGGGGAATCACTTGCTTTATATAGACTAAGGTGTCCGCTCCATAACGTTTTGCCGAAATAACTGGGCACAAGTGATCACCATTAAAAGTCGACGTGCAGATCGCAATAAATTGGTTGCAACCACAAGGTCAAGGTTTCACTTAAAGATCAAGTGTAGAAAAGTCTACATTTCGTTTCCGCTTCATAACTGTAAACGTATGTCAGGATGGGGAAAATAAATACAATTCTTTTAAAGTTTTCTAAGTATATAACAAGTATTTCGGCAACAACAGTGTCTAGTGAGTTAATAATACTGGATATAAATACATACCAACTTACAAGTTTGGATAACAATGTCGTTTGTAAGATGTTTACTGTATTTGAACTTTGGCGGTTTTAAAACTTTATTTGCATTACTTGGAGGTCAAGACCGAAGTGACAGCATTGGTTGGATTCCGACTTTTATAAGGTTCGATGTTTGAAATCCACCAATGAAACAACAGAAATCCGGAAATCCTCCAATGGACAGACAGCCGGATTTCTGAATCTGAAATCTTGGATTTCAATGGCGGCCATATTGAAATCTCATATAAAATCTACATACGAAAATCATTAATATACAAAAACATGTAGTGAATACTTATGGATTTCTGACCTTAATCAATTATAAACTTTACATAAATTATGTTCTTGAATTGAATTTGACTGAAATTGACATTAACAATAAGAAATCTTCAATATAAAATATGAAGTGACAGATTTCAAAGATGTCTGTCATTGGACGTCTGCTACACAGAAAATGTAAAGAGAAATCTGTTTTCTGCTATACAATAAGGTAAGTTTAACATTTCTATCAGCTAAATTGCAAAGTCAATAAGTGTCAATACAGTGTTCCTTCAGATTAATCAGGTAAGTGAATCTTGTTCTTGTAGAAGTCAACAAATTATGAAGCTATAGGATTTCACAATGTCACTTGGATTTCATTATAAGTTCTGTTGTAAGTACATTTCAGAATTATGCTAGAATGTCATATCCTTACACACCCCCTCCCTAAGTCTTTAAGACTGATATTCCCTGAACTTTTTATACTGTCCAAAATAGGTACTAGACCACAAAATATGTAATAGAAAGAGCACCAAAACACGAGGCTATCTGATTTGTACGAGGGGGCGTAGCCCCCGAGTATAAATCAGATTGCCGAGTGTTTTGGTGTTCTTCCTCTTTTGTATCATAGTCAAACATGACAGCACGTTCCCTGTTGTCATAATATGAAACCCCAGAAAAAATTAACCAATGAACGAGCATTTGAATATGATAGTTCTGCCCCTTTCCCTTTCTCTGCCGTCACAATATGTAAACCCCGAAAAAAATGAACCAATCCACGGGCATTATCTGGAGTGCGGGTAACTGATACCCGCACTCCAGTTACCGCACTGTGCATGTATATGTATACGATTTAACTCTGACACTTTTTCAACAGAAAGGTACCCAAACTATGATACAATTATGATTTATTTCACAGTTAGTTAAAAGTTCTGCTGTTCTGTAATTATTATTACTTTATGTATATATATTATATGAAAAGTTTATTTAATCAGATAATGTAAATGTCCTCAGTCTTATTGTAGTTTTTATGTCATGCTTAATTATTTTATTCAATTCCTAGGTGTTGATTCTTCAGATGCGGAAATGTCAAGATTTTATTCAGATGCGAATTTTAACACCAGCAATTTGTTTCAATATATCTTCCAATTCTTTAGAGTGTGATGCTGCTTCAAGCTGATACATGTATGTGTCTTACCAAGTTTTGACTATTTCTTTAAGCTTCAAAGATGTTTCAAATAGTAACCTAGATGGATGATACTCGCGTGGTAGCGGTTTGTTTGGAAGCAATTAATATGTATATTTATAACATACAGCATACATTCATACACAATTACTTTAGATTGAATACTACATATCTCCTAGTCCATTTTAAAGCATTGAACAAATTTCTGATAGTCTCCTTATTCTGGGTACTGTTTTTCTAACCCAATGTCTACCAGTCATTAAGTTTCCCATAGAATACAGCAGCTTCACATTATAGAATCACACACGTTAAGACCAGACTCTCATGGCCATTAACACACGTGACATCATCCTAATGAAGTCACAAAGGTCATCTTATCGTAATCCCTGGGTGATCAGGCCAGTATTACCGTGTCCCGCTTTCCATTCCTCCAAAATTAATTTTATCATCCGTGAAAGGTGTTGTTATCTATGGTCATTCTTAATACACTTTTAGCATAGTAGGTATTCTTTCTTTTGTTCTGCCCATCTGAGATATGCATGTATTAGGTTCACAAGCTACCATGCTTACTTTTCCAATTCTAAAAATATATATAGGTCACCTATTGAAGTGCAAGTTCCAACGTCACTATTTTGTTTGATTACTATAGTTTGTTCCATTCACTTGAGTGCATGACGAGTCATTTAAAGCAACACCAATTACTATTTGAAGAGAATTGTCTTTGTAATTAGATTAAAAATAATAAAACTGGCAACATAAAGTCTTTGTTTGGTACCTCTAAAATAACCCACATTGATGTTTGTACTTTTTCGGATACAATAACTTAAAAAGCAGAACAATTATCTGAATGTGTACCTGTCCATTGTTGGATATTACCATCTAAAATATTAAGTCTCTGATTTTCTATATCAGTTGTTTTCACATTTTTTCATTAAAAGTCTTGGTCAATGATGCCTTGGGAATGTGAGTTTTGCTACTTGTAACCCAAAACACTTTCATATGTTTGTATAATGCTGACAGCATGATCTATGTACTATGTACAGTTTTTATTTGTTTGGGTCGTCAGACCAAACAAATAATGGTAGCGAAATTTCAGAGTCTAATGTTGTTAATTGCAAACGCCGAAAGTAGTCCACTTTTTTTAAGCGGTTACTTCCCTGTCTCAAACACCACCTTAAACCAAAACCAAAACAAACAAACAGTTTTGCGTTGACGAGGCGCATTTATTTAGGTAACATGGAAGCAGTTTATGCAGTAATACAAAATCTTTTAATTTTATTTTTGTTTAACAAAATGCATTGATATTGCAATAAAACTAAATTCATTCGTAATGATAAAATATTATGTTATCTGCTACTTGTGAACTATACATGTATATATAAACTTGAATTAACTGTGGGAAAACATGTCCCATACAATAGTAAAAGAGTAATGTCATATAGATTTACATGTATCAGCTATTACTTTTTGGAATACACGTCACAATCAATAGTTATTATATTATAATTGTAGCTTGTAAACATTCTAACAGAATTAACAAAATATCATTGACTGTATATTTGTCATCGGAATACTGGCCGCCCACGAAAAACCCCGTCGCCGTTTTTTTTTTTTGTTTTTTTTGGCGAGAGGAAACGTGTATCCGTAGCATGCACGAAATATACCGGTGATCGGCACATTTCTCAGACTATTCCTCGAAATATTGGACTTAACGGAATTCTGTCCAGACGTGCTCTCTCTATTTTTTCAAAGAAAAAACTCAGAAATATAAACTTTCACAAAATATATAATTGAATTAGAATGTAAGATGTTACCCGTAAGAGAAACCTCGTAGAAGTGACCAATATATCACATAACTAGTTATTTATAGACCTATAATAACAGACAAAACCGGTTTTGGTCACGCTATGTTGAGACAATATTTCTCCGCTATACGATGTAACGCGGAGAACTATATTTATATGTACACTAACACCGAAAAATTCAGGGGAGATCACTGCGTAAAGATGGTCAAAGACAGGCGAATTAATTTTCAAGCAAAATGATTCCCGAATGGTCGAAGATTTCTAATATTGTTTTATTGTATTTTCTGATCGAAATTAAGTAAATACAAAGCGGACATTCAACCTCTGACACAGAAGTTCACAACAAACCTAACAACAAGTAGTTCTCAAAGCAGCTTAAAACCAGCGATTTAAAAGAAAGAAATATTTTTATTTTGTTACAAGTATCCAACAAATAACAACGCATTCAAAGTTTAAAAATAGCGTTGGCTAATAGAATTGTCAATAAATGCACAATCACAAATTACGCGGATGAATATGATTTTATCAATGAAAATACTATTTTTAGCGCTGTTGATTACCGAATACTACA